AAATGGGAGGAAAGTTTGGTATTTAGATAACTAACAAAATGCCGCTTATATAGTTTCGAAATTCAAAGTACTTCCGGAGAAACACGGAGAAAACCGGATTTTCCGAAAATCGTTTTAATTTTTCCTTACTTTATTTGTAGCGGGATTTCAAAGTAAATTACACGTTAGCATTTCCACTTTTTCTCCTCTACAAGATGGCATAATCAGAATTTCAATATGACGTTTGGTTTCTTGTCCTACAGCATCGACTATATTTTCTGTTAAGGACGATATGTCGTATTTTTATGCAGATGGATAGAGTTTCCTATTCTGATATCAAAAATGTATATGTCATACATTAGTCCATATTTATAAAAAAAAGTTTTACCTTTTGCTTTCAAATAATAAAGCAATTCCTTCAAAGTATATGCATAAAAAGAAGTGAAGGAAAAGGTCTCGCTTCTGTAAAGTAAAAGGTGTTAACGTTTTCTTATTTATAAAAAGAAGCATTTGCTTAAAAACTAAAGGATTTGCTTCTAAAAAAAGGATGGGAAGGGTTACAGCAACTTTTCTCATTTTATCATTAGTTGTCCCGGCATCTTAGAGCCTGCATCTTAAAATTTGTGCATTTTCGTTTAATAAAATCTATTTGTAAGGGCTTGTTTAAGTGATCTTTGGTTGATTAGTCGCAGTACTGTGTCAGTTATGGCTAATGTTGTGCTTTTAGGTGCAAGAAAATACTACAAACCAAGACGTACACCTCGTGAGTCAAATTTCAAGACGTTGTTTAGATTTGAGGAGGAAAATGTGGTGTGGTTGGCAAATTACTTTCTTATCATGGATTTCGAAACTCGTAGAGCAGTCCAGTCATCTGTGCAGAAAATAAAAATATTTCTGCGGTATTGTGCGAACCCTGGATTTCAGAGCGGAATAGCTGAAGAATTGGGATGTTCGCAGCCCATAGTGTCCAGAATATTTCATGACGTGCTAGAGCGAATTGTACAACAAGCCGGAGAATTTATCAGGTTCCCAAACACAGAAATTCAAATTATGCAGGCCAAAGAGAAATGGTTGACCGGTTCCGTTTTCCCACAGCTATTGGAGTTATCGACTGCTCGCATAATCGTCTTGATGGAAAACCAGCCCAATTTGGAGACGAATATGTATATCGAAAAGGTTTTGCCAGTATTAATGTACAGGTTACATGCGACCAGAATTCTGTTATAACTAGTATAGATGCAAGTTGGTCTGGATCAGTCCATGATGCTCGTATATGGAAAAATTCGGCGGTGTATGAAGTCATAAAAAATACAAGAAATACTATTCTTCTAGGGGACAGTGGGTATGGTATAATGTCATGTCTTATGACTCCTTACACCGACCCCCACGAGGAATATCATAGAGTCTTTAACAGGCTGCTTATATCAGAGCGAGTTGTGATTGAGCATACATTTGGGCAAGTAGAGCGGCGATTTACTATCCTGAAGTGTGGATGCAGTTTAAAACTGACCAGTATTTTAAAAGTTATAATTGCGTGTGCTGTGTTGCACAATATAGCTAAGCAATTAAGAGATGAAGATTTTCAAGAAAATGACGAAGATGAACAGGACTTTATTTATAGAGAATGAAAATGTTGATGCTATGCGCGCACAAGGACAAAGGCGGCGAGAGGAACTAGCTCGTCTTATTACCAATAACAATATAGGTGTATAATTAGGATTAAAAATTTCATGTAATGCTATGTATATGTCGTTTACTTCAAACGTACAAAGATGCATTTACTTGAACTAAAAATAAACTTACAAGTTTGAACTGGAAAAAACGTTCAATTATTTTTTTTTGTTATAAATGATACATTATATTTACGTCAATTTACAAGTTTTGCTAAATATTATCTCCAACAACAACATACTCTTGCGGGACTTTTTCGTTTGATGCCTCGTTTAAATTTTTTAGCTTGACAGAGTAATATTGTTGTTGGAGACGAGCAAGTTTCAGTTGTTCAACTAAAACTAATCGTTGAAGCTGGGTTGTCGTTAACTGCCTCGTCTCGTCAGACTCTTGTTTGCCCGAAGCAAAGGTAGGCTTCGGAGGATTTTTTTTTGCAGCAACCTTTTCAACCGATGTGTAGGATCGCTTTTTGTTAGCGACTACTTGAGGCATAATCATCTGATGAGCGTCGTTTTCCACCATAATGTCATCATTTGAAGCAGGTAAAGAAGGTTGACTAGCCACGCCAATTGCAAGAGCCCCTAATAAAAATATGCATGCATGATAAGTACCTACAGGGTAATAGTAAAGACGTGAATCTATTTCTCACCTGGTACCCGACTTAGTACAGGATTTAGGTCCGCATCCATAGCCTTTAACATAACTTTCTCCCAGGACAAAAGACGAATGGGCTTGTTCCCTGTTTTATTTTTGTCAGTTTTATTTTTCAGTCGCGTTTTCATATTGTTCACTTTCTTCATAAAAGCTTTAATATCCATCTCCTTACCAAATAAAGTAACGAATTCCTTAACGATATCAGTTAATGCAGCAGTTTTCTTCTTTTTCATCACTGGAACTTGAGATTTCTCGAGAATCTCCGGAAATGATTGGACTTTTTCAGCGATAAACATCATCTCGTTAGGGGCATCTTCGGTAACTTCCTGTTCACTATCGGTGTCAGACATTTTAAATATTTTATTCACTTTAAAATAGCTGCACAAATAAGTTAGATGGATCTTCTTTACATCAATTGACGTGCGAACTGCTTTTAATTATGAGACAAATAAGATCAATCCCATCAGTTACAGACCACATACGCGTTGATTGCACGCTGCAAGTCATATCTTGACGAAATTGCTAATCTCATTTTACTTTATTTTCCCGAAACATTTGCTTGTAAGGAAGAGGTAGAAATTATGAAGACGAATTAGAGCAAAACCTTTTACTTCCTTTTGCTTGTACCTTTTACTTCAAAGTAAATGCTTCATTTTTATAAATACGTGCTATTGTCTTTGCCAAAACCTAGTTTTCCAGAAAAACAAAAATTCCTAGGTAGGCCTTGAAATTATCAGATTTCGTTAGTTTCGCATATAAGACCAGATTTCAAATTGAACATAGCAACAGAGTTTGGAAGACTGTGAAGGGAAATAAATTGAGCAGTGAACAATGTACACAGAAGAAACAGGGTTGCTTACAAAATAACGGACAACATCTTTAATATCTGCTATGGTTTACCTCTGCTTATTTATGATTATTATTGTTATGACCTTTTTTATTTCCTTATAATCTTCATCCAACAACAAATTCATGGCCAACCAAGGAAATACAACACTGAATTTAGGACTGAAAAGCCCACTTAAACGTACACAATTCCAATATAGCGTCCTCATGAAAAAACAAAGTTGGCGACGAAAGAAGAAATGTCGAATTGAAAATTTGATCACGCCATCTTGTAGACAAAAATAAGTCACAATGACAACATACATTTTATTTTGAAATCCCATCTCCAATGAAGTCGGGAAAAACGAAAAGGGATTTTGGGATAAATCTGGTATGCGAAACAAATTACTATCTGATAATTTCTAGACCTACCTAAAAAAATAACAGAATTTTTTGGAAATAACTTAGGTTGGCAATGTCAATATATATATATATATATATATGTCGTATTATACATTTTTGGAATCAGAATTAAACATTGTATTCATTTGTAGAAAATCCAATATGGCATCCATAAGAAAAAATTAAGTTGATGCTGGAGGACAAGAGACGAAACGGCATATTGAAATTATAATTACGCCTTCTTGCAAAAGCGAAAAAATAACAATGTTAATGTGGAGTTTATTTTGAAATCACACTACAAATAAAGACAGGAAAAAATTAAAACGATTATGGGAAAATTCGTGTTTTTCCGGCTTTCTCCGGAAGTACTTTGAATTTCTAAACTTTTTAGCGGTATTCTGTTGATTACCTGAATACGCCAATTTGCCCTCACTTATGCGACTTCGAATTTCTTTTAGTTTCCGAGATCCCAATGGTGAGGGTCGAATTTGAAACACGCCGTATGTTTATTCTCAAGTTAAAAAGTGTAAGTCGTTTGTGAGAGAAATAAAATATTTGGTTCAGGATAAGAAAACTTCTTCCAACTCACAGAAAAGCCTTACGTCTTACGCTACGCCACTGTAAAATCCAATTTTATCGGACAAACTTGTGTAAATATACCTTTCATCTACCAATATTTGTCCATCTTTAACATCTCGTTCGCTTAGTTTTCTATCCCGCTTACGTAGCTTATACGGAATGCGTGCTCACTATGCTCAATAACGACGTTATCGGTACTTTTCAGGTACTGAAGTTTCTGAAATTCCTTAATGTGATTTTGTCCTTTGATAACCGCCTCATTTTAAGAATATACAATAATCTTTCCGAAAATAAAGTTTTTGGGTTACAAAATTACAAGCCATTTATCATTGAACTTATAGTACTTGTCCGAATTAGCAAATCTTTCATATTATCTTTTCCTGGAGTACTTTGAATTACTCCATAGGTAATCACTCAGTGGGTTCAGGTCCGGAGATAGACCAGACCATAAGTGAAGTGCTTCTCACACGAGTTACTCCAGATCTCCAATCCAAATTCTTCTGTCAAAGATTAACAAGCAATCATACTGAAGTAATATGCTAATGTTACTAAACAAGAAGGTCTATGACGACGAGATTGAGTTCTTGAGATTTTTGTTTTAGCCGGTTTTCTGAAAACCGTCAAAGTATAAAAAATATTCTTGAGGGGTGGCACCATTGCATTAGCCTATAAAAAGTACGAGTATGTAACGAAATCTTTGAGCATAATTTTCACCAATTTCCAGAAGTTTGATTTATTTGAAATTTCGCACACGTATCAAGGAGCGATGACAATGCAATAATTTGATAACAGGTTTCCATTATCCTTATTCATAAAATTCTGCAAAAAGCAGATCTGTTATTAAAAAGCCACGGATTTCAAATGCCGCCTTACGAATAGCGAAACTACAAACCTCTATAGCTCAGTGACAGAGCGCTGGTCCTGTGAACCAGGGGTCATGAGTTCAAACCTCACAGGAGACAGATTGTGGTATGTATGTATGTAAAGGAATCTTTGAGCATTATTTTCACCAATTTCCAGAAGTTTGATTAATTTGAAGCTTCGCGTACGTACAATGAATGATAATCTGATAACAGTTTTCCGTACTCCTTATTAGGACCGCCAGGATTGATACATTCTTTTATATATCCCCTGTAGGGTAGTAAAAGAGATAGAGCTAGGGCGCGATCTGCGTATGCGTGCAGTTTCGGACTTTTTCTTTGTTGGTTCGAGCACTCTTCACAGCATAGCGGAGAGACCGATACTTTTTCAAGGTAGTGCATTCTCACATTGTTCATTGCGAATGTTGTCATTAATCCTGAGTTGGGCTTCTACCGTCCACAAGTTGCAAGGTTGTACAGTCAATCATGCTGTCGTTTATCTAGGCTCGCGACTGTTTGCTGCTGGACAAGCTTATGTAGCACTTAGTCGTGTGAGATCTTTAGACGGTATCCGAATTGAAGAACTTGATTGCTCTAAGTTAACAGGAAAAACCCCATGTAACAGTGAAGCTTTAAATGAAATGATTAGATTACGAAATGATTCGTGAGACATTACAATACCACATGTCCATAAAAAACTAATTGATAAAGCGAACCAAAAATAGAAAAATATATAATAGTTTAAAAAACTAAAGCTGCTCGAACTGAAGGGTAGAAAATAATTTTTAATACAAGATTATTATTACAGTGGTAGATGGTCGAATAATCAATCATTATTAATGACCTCAAAATAAAATTATAACAAAATTTAAGTTATTAACAGAATAATTCAATTCAGAGGAAAAAGCGTGGGGTGCATTTTACTACATTTTCATAAACTCTCATAGATAGTTGTCAATAGAATGATCGTAGCATTTAATATATGTGCACCCCACGGTTTTTACTCTGAATTGAATTATTCTGTTAATAACTTAAATTTTGTTATAATTTTATTTTGAGGTCATTACTTATGATTGATTGTTCGACCATCTACTACTGTAATATAAACTCTTGTAATTTAAAATTATTTTCTACTTTTTAGTTCGCTTAGCTATAAAACCTGTTTTTTTAGTTTTTTAAACTAGTATCTATTTTGTTATATCCTTTTTGTGGAAGAAAAGGTAATAAAATAATAACATTTGAAAAAGTTATGGAGCACATAGATAAGTAACAAAAAAAATATCATAAGTGTATATTCAAAAATGGCCTCACCGCAGCCATTTTTGTAAGGCACAAAGAATTTCAGGCGGTGAGTTCCTGCAAATTTTAATCGAGAAAGAAGAAAAAACTACTTATTGTGCATATTCATAGCTATAGCCAACTAATCCTATATTCCCGCGTCCAAAAAGATATCCGTGGCGTCATCTATGATAACTGGTCGCAGCTGTTTCTCTATTTATATACAGGGTCAATTGTAATGTCACGTATTCCTGTTGAAAGGTGATAGATTAGGTCAAAAGCAACCGATTTTGTTCTATCATGTCTTATCCAAAAGTTAACCATTTTTGAGTTATTTGAATTTTAAGTTTTTTATTTTTTATTCCGATTTCAGACGGTTAAAATTGAAATACAAAAAAACTGCATGTTTGATTTTGAGTTTTTTGTTATCGTCGCTTAGCAGACATTCCAGTAGTTCATAATAAGTAATGAAATGTTGAAAAGCTACAAACGTTTTAAAATTATGCTTTATAAATGTATGACTTTCTTATTTTTTTACTAACGATAAAAAATTCAATTTTCTGTGAAAAATCTCCTAGTAATGAAATGTGCAAATTATGTAAATAATACCTCTATCTAACAAGCTTTCATTTGAGGTATTAAGCGTTCAATTATCTGTAGTACATGCAGAGAAACAACAATGACACCCACAGAGGCTGGATTTTTAAGGAATTTGTATTACCTGTTTGAACAAGTCGTTACTGTCCTCAAAGGACTCGCATGCCATGATTGTTTTATGGCATCGGCTCTAAGAGGAAGCGAGTGAGAAGAGCTGACTTAGTGGAGGAGTAAGAGAGAGAGAGAGAGAGATAGAGCTGTTATATTCATCATTATAGTTACGCCATCGCCGCACGCCGAGTGAGAATTAGGTTTAGTTGCTATCAACTACTGCGTACGCGCGATTATTATTTTCGAGTTTCCCAGTTCATTTCGAGTGGTTTCTTTATCATCATGGCAGACGCAGAAGATCCGCCAGGCAAACTTTTACAAATGAAGAATACGCAGACATAATGCTCTGTTATGGACTTTGTAACGGCGATTCTACAGCTGCCCGCCGTGAATATCGGCAACGTTTCCCGAATCGCCGAACACCTCATGTTACTGTGTTTGACTCTGTGTATCGGCGCATCCGCCAAACCGGACGTATTCAAAGGCATCATAGTGATGCTGGTCGACCCCGAGTCTATCCTCCTGAATATGAAGAGGAATCCTTCGTGTGTTTCAGGAATACCCTACTACGTCTACGCGCATTGTGGCTGCTCAGTTGGGTATATCACAATATAAAGTATGGTTTACTGTGCACACTGCAAGATTATACCCTTATCACTACACGCCTGTGCAAGTGATTGAAGAGGGCGATCCTGCAAGATGATTAGATTTCTTCAGGTTCATGTTACATGCAGATACAGAAGATCCAGACTATTTTAAGAAAATTCTGTGGACCGATGAATCGAAGTTTGATAAGGACGGGATCACTAACTACCATAATGCTCTTTACTGGGCAGATAAAGAAGCTTTAAACCCCCGCAAAATAAGACCAACGGGGTCCCAGAGCCGGTTTTCAGTCAATGTGCATCATTGATGGATATTTAATTGGACCTCATTTTCTGCCCGCCTATTTAAATGGAGAAGTGTATGAAGAGTTCTTGAAAAATCACAGACGTCCCATTGGCGACGAGAAAAAATATTCCAGCACGACGGCTATCCCGCACACTACAGTAGATTAGTACAGGCGTATTTAGACTCTAAATTTCCAAATCAATGGATTGGCAGAGGCGGGCCCATTGCCTGGCCAGCAAAAAGTCCAGATCTCACACCGATGGATTACTATGTGTGGGGACATATGAAAAGCCTGGTGTACGATGTTTCGCCCGTACTAACGCGCGATGAATTAATTACAAGGATAATCAGTGCAGCTGACCAAATAAAAAGGCGCTTAACAACTAGAGTTACCAAAAGTGAATTACGTAAGAGAATGCGGGCGTGTATTCGTAACAGGGGATTACAATTTGAGCAGAATCTGTAAAATACTAAAGGATATGTAATTAAATAAAACTGTAATTAAAATAAAAGCCTTTTATTTATCCTACGTAATTATCGTTCGTACAACTTTACTCATCTTTTTTTAATTTTATGTCTCTGTACTTGAGTTAGTTGTAACTTTTATACCTCAATTGAAAGCTTGTTATATAGAGATATTATTTACATAATTTGCACATTTCATTACTAGGAGATTTTTTACAGAAAATTGCATTTTTTATCGAATAAGTTAATAAAAAAAATAAGAAAATCATACATTTCAAAAGCGTAATTTTAAAACTTTTGTAAGTTTTCAACATTTTATTACTTATTATGAACTATTGGAATGCCCGCTATGCGACGATAACAAAAAACTCAAAATCAAACATGTAGTTTTTTTGTATTTTAAATTTAACCGTCTGAAATCGGAATAAAAAATAAAAAAAATAAAATTCAAATAACTCAAAAACGGTTAACTTCTGGATAGGACATTATAGGGCAAATCGGTTGCTTTTGACCTAATCTATCACCCCTTAACAGGAATACGTGACATTACAAGTATATATAATCTGTAACATTACATAGCCATAGATGTAAGGTATAACAAATTGTTGACACTGTCTTTTCATTGTTTTGAAAGGTTATGAACCAATTTTGCCCAAGTCTCTTTGTCCCTGGCCTGTCGAAGAGCTTCTGTCCAGCTGAGTCCTCTGTTCATCAGTGTCAATGCAATTCCGTCATTCCACGTCTTTTTTGGTCTCCCTCTAGTTCTTTTATTCATAATTTTAGCCTCCCATATACTTTTGACTGGTCCAATTTCTTCCATGCGGATTAGATGTCCAAACCGTTTCAACTGGTTTTCCTCAATTTTTTCCAAGACAGATCTAACCCCAATCGCTTCGTATAATCTCGTTCCTAAATTTGTCTCTCCTAGTCACTCCTTTTACTGTTCTCAAGTATTTCATATCTATTGCTTGCATTTTGCTTCTTTGCCGGTTGTTCAATACCCAGCTTTCGCTTCCAAAAGTCAGGATAGGTCTGAAAATGGTTTTATATACCGTCATTTTGGTCTTTCTGCTTATTTCTTTTTTCGATATGAACGATGTTTTTATGCTATGATACAGGTTCGATGCTTTTATGCTGTACTTGATCTATATATGTTCCTCCCGAGATCATTTTGAGTTCTTTCCCTTGTCTAGTAGTCAGGACTTTTGTTTTAGAAATGTTAATATTCATATTTCTCTTTAATAGCTCTTCACTCCAGATGTTAAGGTTATCTTGTAAATATTTTGCGTGGCTGGCACATAATAGCAAATCACCGCAAAAGCACACTCTGCTATACTTACAGTTCTCATTTTATAAAACCCTACATGAACTTTTCTTGTTTCACTCTTTAGGGCCTTGATTACATGGTCCATGGCTATGATAAATAGTGTAGGGCTAAGCACGCCTCCTTGCTTCAGTCCGCCGCTGATTTTGTGTCTCTATTTACTATGTATAATTTGAAAAGGTTACTGTCAACTTAGATGGCGCTCTCTCTATGAGCCTAGAGTGCCACCTATGAGAGACTAACCTTTCAAAGTACAAATATCTAGAGAAACAGCTGGGACACATTCTCATGGATGACGCATGGAATGACGGTATCTCACTTTATCTCGGATAATCTTTTGGACGCGGGAATACAGCATTAGGTTGTAGGTTGGCTATCTTCAGGTAGTTCACGTTAATCAGTGCTGTCACATACGCGGTTCTACAAATCCAATTCA